GGCAGGTTTTCATAGGTGCAGAGGAGAGAGGCAGTCAGTCATGGAGCACAGAATTACAGCGAGGTTCAGACAGTTGGAGTAGTTAAAGTGTCTAACATTAACAACACACACATTCATACACCTACCTGCAGAGGAGAATGGAGGCAGCAACTAGAGGAGGCCGTGGACTTGCAAATACAGTTCCATTCACCAAGGAGCAGGCGTGCTCAGAGCCAACGTGTGCACCTTCGTCCGCACACTGACCTGTTGACACAGAAGGGTCCAATCAGCTTTACCAAGGAATTGTCTTCTCCGCTGTCCTTTGTGTTAGCTTAAGTCTCAATTTCACAAATGGCATGTTTGTGTCTGATTTCAGGGCTTCGCATTCAAAGATGTTGTCATTTACTTCTCTCGAGAGGAGTGGGAGTACTTGTACCATCCCCACAGAAATTTATACAGGGATGTGATGCTGGAGAATTATAGCAACCTGATTTCACTAGGTAAGCTCATCCACCCGCCAAAATTCAGAATCGCCCTTCTAGAATTTTCACGTTCTTTATGATGAGTGCTGATTGTTTTTGTTTATTTTTTGTTTTGTTTTACTATGTGAATAGGTATTTTGCCTGCAGGTGTATCCGTGCAACACGTGCATGCCTGGTACCCATGGAAGCCAGAAAAGGCATCAGTCAGGTCCCCTAGAATTTGAGTTACAAGTGATTGTGAGTCACCATGTGCTGAGAATTGAATCCAATCCTCTGTAAGAGCGGCCAGTTCTGTTAATCCCTGAGCCATCTCTCCAGCCCCTGTTGATTTGTTTGATGCAAAGTCTGCTATGCAACCCAGATTGGTCTGAAACTCATGACAATCCTCCTGCCTTAACTTTACAGGTGCTGAGGATATAGGCCTGCACCACTACCAAAGGCATTTGCTGAGTTTGTCATGAACACTTTTCAAGTACTGAGCTAAATTAATAGATTTACAGAGAGAGAGAGGGAGAGAGATCTTTTCTTCCCCAGCCCTCTAACATTCACTCATTTTGATCCTATTTTTTCACCACCACCATCATCATTATTCTTCTTATTGGGTGAGGAAGGGCGTGCACATAGAGGTCAACGGACAAGTCTATGGAGTCAGTTCTCTCCATCTTTACATGGGTTCCAAGGATTGACTTTAGGTTGCCAGGCTTGTATGACAAATACCTTTACCCTTTGAGCCATCTTACTCCCCCAATCTGTCTCTCTCTCTAATTGAAAAGAGATTTTTTTCATACAGTATATTCTGATCTGATTACTTTCCCCTTCCCCCAAATCCTCCCACATCCTCTCCACTTACCCACCCAGATCCATACCTTTTCTTTCTCTCATTGGAAAACAAACCAGGATAGAACTAAACAAACAAACGGGGGGGGGGCACATAAAAGCACAAGAAACACAGGCACTGAGACACACACATTTGCACACAGAAAACCCATAGAAACCATAATGTATAAGCAAAGTCTCTAAGGTTAAAAAGAAATTAAAAATAAATAAAAAGTCCAGACAAAGTATTATGAGACAAAAACCTCCAACAATACCATTGAGATCATGTTGTGCTGGCCATCTGCTGCTGAACATGGGGCCTGCTCTTAGGTGTGGTTTCTATACCCAGTGGGGGTCCTTTAGAGAAAACTGAGTTTCTCCCTTATGGGTGGTTGTCAGTTTGAGATAGCAGCTTCTGAGTTAGAAGTGAGGCTTCTGGATTAGGAGTGCAGGCTTCTGGGTTAGGAGAGAAGACTTCTGCCCATTTCCCCTCTCGGGTCTGAGACTGTTTTTTTCTCCTGACAATCATGGACTTAACTTTACTATAGTCTCACAGGATAGCCCTGGCTGTCCTTGAACCCATAGAGGTCCTCCTGACTCTGCTTCTAGAGTGCTAGGATTGAAGGCTTGTGCCTCTGTTCCAGGCCTCCTGGACCATGCTGATTCTGACATGCACGATATAAACTTCCCCTTTTGTCTTTGGACAGGTCTTGCTGACACTAAGCCAAGAGTGATCTCCCTTTTAGAGCAGGGGAAGGAGCCCTGGATGGTTATGAAGAATGAAACAAAAGAATGGCATCCCGGTGAGTGATAGTTCGTGGACCTGGGGAGGCAGGGCAGGTCGTCACTCAGGCAGTCTGTGAGAGGGCAGCACTCTGATGCTGCTGGGAAAATGCCCAGGCCACCTAAGCCTAAGGTCTGGGGGGAGAAAGGATGCTCTAGAGCAAAGCCTAAGGTCTGGGGGAGAAAGGATGCTCTAGAGCAAAGCCTAAGGTCTGGGGGAGAAAGGATGCTCTAGAGCAAAGCCTAAGGTCTGGGGGAGAAAGGATGCTCTAGAGCAAAGCCTAAGGTCTGGGGGGAGAAAGGATGCTCTAGAGCAAAGCCTAAGGTCTGGGGGAGAAAGGATGCTCTAGAGCAAAGCCTAAGGTCTGGGGGAGAAAGGATGTTCTAGAGCAAAGCCTAAGGTCTGGGGGAGAAAGGATGCTCTAGAGCAAAGCCTAAGGTCTGGGGGAGAAAGGATGCTCTAGAGCAAAGCCTAAGGTCTGGGGGAGAAAGTATGTTCTAGAGCAAAGCCTAAGGTCTGGGGGAGAAAGGATGTTCTAGAGCAAAGCCTAAGGTCTGGGGGAGAAAGGATGTTCTAGAGCAGTTCTTCTCAACCTTCCAATGCCGCAACCCTTTACTACAGTTCCTCATGCCATGCTGACCCTGACCATAAAATTATTTTCATCTCTAGTTCATAGCTGTAGTTTTCATGACTGAATGAAAAAAAAAAAAAAAAAATGAGGCCATGACTGCTCCTAGTTATGGTTGAAGAGAAAGTTTTTGTTGTAGGTGTGAGTGAGCACAGCCAGGGGCATCTGGAAGTGTCCAGACACAGCATGGCCAGCAGACTGAAGCAGGCCAACGAGAGGAGAGGGCATGGGAGAGAAAGGAAGAAGAAGGCTGGGGGTGGGATGGAGGTAGGGGGACTAGAGTCCAAGAGCCAGGAGACAGAGAGCAAGAGCACCAGGGAAAGGCATAGCCAAACTAGCTGGGTTTTATAGGGAAAGGGAAGCAAGCTCGGGGCTGGAGAGGGTTAGGTTGGAAGAGGGGGCATGTCAGCCAGGGTGATGCTATGCTTACTAGCTATGCTGAGAGATGGTGGGAGGATCTGGTGGCCCAGCACCGACCCCAGTCGGCCATTTGTTCTGAGTTTCTTAGAGACCTAACAGTGGAGGAATTTTTTAAATATTTGTGTTAGTATTCTCATATGCCTGCTTGTCTGTGTGTGCACATGCGTGCAGGTGCCCAAGAGGGCTGGGGCAGGCCTTTGGATCCTCTGGAACTGGGGAGTCACAGGAGTTTAGAGTCACCTGATATGAGTGCTGGGCACTGAATCCAGGTCATTTGCAAGAGCAGCAAGTGCTCTTAACCCCTGAGTCATCTTCCCACTCCCCAGATTTTTATTACAACTACTACTAGTTCATCATCTTTGTCACAGAACTACTCATATGCTCTAGTTAGTCTTGAATCTAAATGATGTTTCATTTCAGATTGTGTGTCTAGGCCGTCTGATAAATTGGTTTGGTGTGGTTTCTTAGAGCCCTTTTTATATATGTGAGGTCATTAGCGGTCCCCTTCTTTCATTCTCAAATTTAGTACCCTGCATGTCTTCTCTTGCTTCTCTTCCAGTTAATGATGGCTGGCAGCTGGATTGTTATTGACTCTTTTACTGTAGTTCTTAGAATTATTTTCTTAGTGGTTGCCTTAGGGATTATTGTATTTGAGGGGGCACAGTATAAGAACTAACAAGTATAGTTAGCATCTTAATTTAAAGCAGTTTAGAAGCCAAGCATCCCACACCTATAATCAGTACTCTGGAGGCTGAAATGGGGAGCATGCATTCTAGACTATCCTGAGTTAAATAGTGAGAGCCTGGCTCAGAAAGAAATAAGATGGAGGCATGAACTGTGGAGTGTGGGCAAGCTCTTGAAGTTGGAAAGGGAAGTGAGTGGCTCCCCAAATGCCTTTGATGTTTTTCTCTGACTCTTTCCCATGGGCATTTGTAAGAACATAAGCCCCCAAATTTCCCCTTCCTGCTTGTACAGGACCTTGAGATTAGGGCATTGTGACTGATGAGGACGTCTTTCCAGGTCTTCTGGGGAAGCAGATAGCTGCTTGTGTGCACAGCCTTTTGTATTCCCAGGAGCCTAGTTTGTCTGGGTCTGTGGTTGCCTTTCTAGCTCCTGATTTACTGAAAACTAAAACTAAAACCATAGCTTTATGCTACTGTTTTCAGAAATGGTCTAGGGTGGGACTTCTGTTTCCTGCCCCCAATCCCTGGTTTCACATCCCCTGGAACTGAAGTTACAGATGATTGTGAGCTGCCAGACTCATGTGCTGGAGATCGGAACTTGGCTCCTCTGCTAGAGTAGCACACGGTCCTAACCAATGAGCCCTCTCTCCAACCCCAGGCAGTGATTTCATATCACAGGTTTAACAATGAACAAGTGAAGGCCCCATCTGGTCAGATTTATCACATGTTCTAGTGAGGTACATACATTATTTTAAGTATAGTAACATTTCTCATTAGACTTCCTTAGAAGACCTCCAGCCCCCAAATAATGACATAGAGATTTATTATTAATTATGCAAGCTTGGCCTTTAACTTAGGCTTATTCCCAACGAGCTCTAATAACTTAAATTAACCTGTTTCTGTTAATCTACATTCTGCCACATGGCTCTCTACCTCTCCTCCATCCTGTATGTCTGACTTCCTCCATGTCTCCCTGGCATCTCTGCACCTAGATTCATGCTCCTGAGTTCCTCTCTCTGCCTGGAAGTCCTGCCCAACCTCTTCTGCCTAGCTTTGACCATTTGGCTTTTTATTAAACCAATCAGGTGCCTTAGGCAGGTGAGGCACAACATAGACACATCTTCATGCTGAGTAAACAAATATCCTGCAACACTTAAGTGCCAATAAGACATTGAAATACTGTGTTTTAAGTTAGAGGTGATGTTGGGATGGTTGTCCGAGGAAGGACATGGGTGCAGCAAGAGGACCTAAGGTCCAGGAGGGAGGGGGCGGCACGGCGGCGGGAACAGCGGTGCATGGAGGACGTGAGTTTAGTGAATGTCAGCAAGAAGCTATGGAGGATTCGGGATGATCAGATGCTCAGCCTAACTTACAGAGCTGAGAACCAAACTGAGGACCTGTGTAAGAGCAGCAAGTATCCTAACTGCTGGGCCATCCTCTCTCCAGCTCCATTAAGACACTTTGGAGATCTGTTTATGTGTTTGAGTGTCTTTGCCTGCACGTATGTATTTCACTACTTATATTCCTGGTGCCTGGCTCTGGAATTGTGGATGGTTGTGAGTTACCTTATAGGGCCCGTGAATTGAACCCAGGTCACCTACAAGAACAGTGAATATTCTTAACTGTTGAGCCATGTCTCCAGCAGTAGATTCATTTTGAATTTTGAGACTGTGTGTGTGTGTGTGTGTGCACGCATGAGAATATAGGTGTTGAGGCCAAAAGAAGCATCAAATCTTCTGTAGCTGACGTTAGAGGTGGTGGTGAGTTGCCTGGGACAGGTTCTAGGAATCAACCCTGGGCCCCCTGCAAGATCAGCAAGTGCTTGTAACCTGAGCTACCTCTCCAGCCCTTGGGAGGGCTGTTATTCTGAATGAGGAGGAGGTGCTGACAGAAGGTGCTATGATCTCACTATTTTATTTATTTATTTGTTTGTTTGTTTGTTTATTTATTTATTTATTTTCCCTCCTGGTTTTTCGAGACAGGGTTTCACTGTGTAACAGTCCTGGCTGTCCTGAAACTTGCTTTTTATACCACGCTAGAGTCTTATAGAAATCCTCCTGCCTCTGCCTCACTAGTGCTGGGATTAAAAGTGTGTGTCACTGCTGCTTGGCTGTCCTCACTATTTTTAACAGCAACATTGTTACTAACTGTGTGGAGTGGAACTTGGGCTGTGGCAGCAGATCTAGTAGGCTATACAGCATGGTGGAACTCTTTAGCCAGTAACGGCTCTGAAGAAGATGGTTGAGATACTGGAAAGAAAACGACATCTGTACATGGTCTGAGACTAGAGCTGAGAGCTGTTGTTGGTGCTGCCTTGTTTATATTCTCTTATACTTTTCTTAGACAGCTCCTGGATGGTGTTTTGAATAAGTTGCCCACCAGAGTTGAAAGAACACGGCCTTCCCCTTACTTTTCTAACTCTCGTCATTGTCTCTCATCTCATAACCCCTTCCAGATTCCAATGTTGTGTTGCCAGTTGTTTAAATTTTCATTTCCTTTAGCTGTCACTTCCAGCAATTCTCCCTTCTGAAGTGTGAGCATGACCCTCCACTCTCTTCTTTTCTTACAGATTGGGTGTCCCCCAAATCTGTACTCCCAAAGTACGGTCACAAAACTAAATCACTGCAACAAAAGGTGGCAAAAAAACATACGCACCCCAACATTGAGGACAGCAGGGCCAAAGGTAACAGAGAAACCACAGGCCGCTTGGAGAGGCAGCAGGACCATCAGGAGGGACATTTGCGACAAGCTGGAGTGACCCCCGTTGAGAGGCCCAGTCCCATCCAGTGCACAGTCCACAAAGAAGCTCACGCTGGAGGGAAACCCTGTGAATGCAAGAAATGTAAGAAAACGTTCATGTGCCGATGGTGTCTCACTGAGCATGAGCAAACTCACAACAAGGGGAAAAGTATCCAGTGTGCACAATGTAGGAAGGTCTTTAACTGCAGGTCAGACTTAACTATGCATCAAAGACTTCACGAGAGCAGAAAGGGCAATGAAAATAAGAAAAGTGTTACTTGTGGTTCTGATGCTTTGAAACCTCAGAGCACTCACAGTAGTGAGAAACCTCATAAGTGTAAGGAATGTGGGAAAGGCTTCCATTCTACCTCACAGCTCAGTCACCATCAAAAGCTGCATATAGGTGAGAAGCCCTACAAGTGTAAGGAGTGTGGGAAGGCCTTCCCCTCTATTGCACAGCTTAGTCTTCACCAGAGAGTGCACACTGATGAGAAGTGCTTTGAGTGTAAGGAGTGTGGGAAAGCCTTCACCCGCCCGTCACATCTTCTTCGTCACCAGCGAATCCACACTGGTGAGAAGCCTCACATGTGTAAGGAATGCGGGAAGGCCTTTCGTTATGACACACAGCTCAGTCTTCATCAGCTCACTCATGCTGGGGCTAGGCGCTATGAGTGTAAGGACTGTGACAAAGTGTATAGCTGTGCCTCTCAACTCACTCTCCATCAGATGGTTCACACTGGGGAGAAGCCCCACAAGTGTAAAGAGTGTGGGAAAGGCTTTATCTCTGACTCACACCTTCTTCGACATCAGAGTGTTCATACTGGCGAGAAGCCCTATAAATGTAAGGAATGTGGCAAAGGCTTTCGTCGTGGCACAGAACTTGTCCGACATCAGAGAGCCCATACTGGGGATAAGCCCTATAAATGTAAGGAGTGTGGAAAGTCCTTTACTTGTACCACAGAACTCCTTAGACATCAAAAAGTTCACACCGGCGAGAGACCCCACAAATGTAAGGAGTGTGGGAAGGCTTTCATTCGAAGGTCAGAGCTAACGCATCATGAAAGAAGCCACAGCGGTGAAAAACCCTATGAGTGTAAGGAGTGTGGGAAGACCTTTGGCCGTGGTTCTGAGCTTAGTCGACACCAGAAAATCCATACTGGCGAGAAGCCTTACAAATGTAAGCAGTGTGGGAAGGCCTTCATTCGTGGCTCCCACCTTACCCAGCATCAGAGAATTCATGCAGGACGGAGGAGTGAATGAGGGAACACCGCCATCAGAAAGTCCATACAGTTAGAAGTCCCTGTGATGGCTAACACATCATAGGGTTTCTCATTAGCACTGGCATCCATACTCAGACCAGTTAGGGCCACAAATGATTGGATACTGGTCACCAGTAAGAAACTTTACAGTTACAGAAATGGTGGTGACTTACTTGTTCCAGAGTTTACCGTGAGGCTTTAGTTTATGAAAAACTGGGAAGTCACATGAATGTAATAAAAGTAGGATTGTCCTTTCAGTGGTCCAGAGCCAAATAATGCCTCAGGGAATTCACACCAGGGACAAACTGAGGAGGCGGTAACATCAGAGAAATTAGTTGTTAGCCTCAGGAAAGAATTCATAATCATACAAATGGAATCTTTCATACTTAAGGCCACATTTTCTATTAAAAGTACAGCACATTCTTCGTATTTTATGAAATATTTTTGAGTTTATTCTATAAAGGAAGTGTGGGAAAGACTTAACCATGTTTATTTTTTACTCCCCCTTATTAAGAGTTTGCACAGGGTAAATTACTTACTAACTTTTAAATTCTTTTATAAATTAGCAATGGTAACATCATGTGTCTAGTTGTACTGTGAGGATGTGTTTAGTTTGTGGAATAGCCAAATGCAGCAAGGCATGGTGGTGCATGCCTGTAATACAAGCACCTGGGAGCCAAAGGCAAGAGGAACACAAGTTTGAGGCTAGCTTGAAGAATGTCTCGAAGAAAAAAAAAAGTATGCCAAAGATAGCTGCTTTCTTTGTTATTTTCAAAAGTGTGAACTTTTATATAACAGCCTTATAAAGGAAAGCCTTACACATCCAGTGGTTGGAGGGACATTTTGCATTGACTGCTTCAGAACCCTTTTGAAGACAAACTGGAAGCTTTCATTTGTACTTTGCCCTTCTGCCAGTCAGAAGGCTCACAGTTGCAGTGCAGCCCAGTTGCTGGGAGGTGGGGAGATTTTGATGCCAGAAGTGTTGTGTATGCGATGAAGGTGAAATTGAAATTAAGTAGGCTGGATGGACAAGCAGAGGCTGTGGGTTTTGCCTGTCTGCAGGCGTTACCATTCCCCTCTGCAGTGTTGCCAAGCACTTACAGTCTGGTCCTCTCAGTGGTGCGCTTGGTCTCCTGTGTAATAGAGGATCTGAGCAGGAGTCCACAGTGGGCTTAAGTAACAAGACATGGGAATGGTCTCAGCTGCAGGGAGCGCATCTCTACCGACAGGTGGCGCCTGATTTGTATTGTAATCAAAAGGGTGTGAGGCTGAGGCTGTCACAGGAATACATTGTCATTGACATTGTGGCTTCACACAACCATGAATCACCCTTTCTCTGAACTTGCAGAATAAGAAATGCATATATTGAAAATTAATACTCAGCTCTTTACAGTATACCTAACTCTTGGAAAATTACCATTTAAGATATTTTTACATATATATTCAGTTTCAATAAGATATGGTGCTCATTATATATTCTGCTTTTGTAGTATATGACATAGAGAAGCATTATTTTCCAAAGTATTTTCTTAGCCATATTATTGAAATATGTATTCACTTTTGATTTAGTAAGATATAGGATGTTTACTTATAGCATTTGATAGTGTATTTTTATATCCTACTTTTTACAATATATCTTAAATCCTGGACAAGTATTGTTTTCCTGAATGAAGTTTCCTGAATGAAGAACCTGCTTAAGGAACTGCACTAATTCCTCTAAAACTGAGTCATCTGACAGCTAAAAAAAAAAAAAAAAATCTTCTACCTCTTCAGGACACAGGCACTCACCGCTGTGAAGGGAGCAAGCATTTTTACCAAATCTAGTCAGCTGTTTACAAACTTATTGTACTTAATAGACTAGCAAGTCTGATCAGAAGCCAGTAAAAGAGGAACATGGTGCTTTGTGCAGATGTGTTTGTAGACATGCTAATAAGTAAACTTGTGAGTAATAAAGCAGCTGGTGCCTGCTGTGAGGGGAAGTGGCCTCCCTGTCCACACACAGACTTCCACTTGAGAATAGTCTCTGTCTGGTGCAGTTCATCTGCCTCTCATTGTAGCATTATGCTAATCAGCAGACAGACTACTGCTGACAGTTTATAACAGAATTCAGGTAGCAAGTGGGTGTGTCGTGTGCACACGTGTGTGGAGGCCAGAGGTCGGCCTAAGATGTCCTGCCTCAGGAGCCACCCACTTTGGGTTTTTGGTGCAGGACCTCATGAGGAGCTGGGGCTCACCAGTTGGGCTCAGCTGGCTGAGCAGTGAAGCCCGGGGACCCGTTTGGTCCAGTATCCTTAGCGTTGGAATTAAAAGCAGGTGCCACATCGCCCAGCTTTTTCATGTGGGCTTTGGGAGATTTGGAACTCGGGTTCTCATGCCCAGCGAGCTCTTTACTGACTGAGCCATCTCTCAGCCCATCGAGAATTTTTTAAAAGGGGGAATTGATTACTGAATTTTAATCTGCACTGGTATATTAATTTAATAAATCTAAAATTTATTCTAAAAAGAGAGCTTGCACATTTTTATAGGAATTAATTAAAGCAGTTTTTAAAACGGTGATAGTAGTACTGAATTCAGTGTTGGAAGATAGCTCTTTAATGTTCTGCTCAAGACTTGAATGTCCTCTCCCAAATGTATGTGTCATGATGGACCTGAAAGCTAGAATACACTACAGTGATTTTGTTAGAGAAGATGCTGACTGCACGGTCCTAGGTGCCAGTGGCCCGTGGGTACTGCGCACCCTTGCTCAGACTCGTCTTGGTAACAGGTCATGGTAGGGAGAGTGTATCAGATGGGATTGTGCATACACACAGGAGCGCAGCTTCTTCTCGCGTGCTAATCCACTGTAGACATCAGTACTTACAGAGCTAACTCACTGCACGTGATTCATATGAGCCGTGTGTGCTCAGCCCAGTCTTCACCAGTCAGTGTTCAGGTTAGTTTTAGCATCAACGATGAGGTCAGGACACGGTGTCCCCACATGTTAGTGTTCCCGCTTCTGTAAAGCAGGTGAATTCCTGCCGTTGAATCCTCGCCTTAACAATAGATTTGAAATGTACTTGGTGCCTTATTGCTTTTGTGTAAAGCTTGCAATCATCTCAACCAAAGTTTGTGTGCTTCCCAACTTTGTCAACCAGGACTGAAAACATGCCTTCCATTTGCACTACCTTAACTGCCAGCAAGGCTGAGCATCTCCCGGGCCTTTGGGATGTTTGAGCTTTGTTTCTGTGAATTGCACATTGTTATCCATCTCCCTTTGTAAAATTGGAGTTGTGTTTTTTTTTTTTTTTTTTGAGACATTTGTACAAACAGCTAGACAATCCTATTACCACATTAGCAATTTATTGTCTTAGTCTAGCGTATGTCATTTGCCCTTGTTTATATTAAGATGTTACCACATGTTGTTTTCTGAAGGGCCAGGCAGTATTTCAGGCTTCGGGGGCCTGTTTTCATGCAGCCTTTGCAGCATGGAAGTGCATCCTAATGGAACCAGTGGCTCTCGGCCACTTCTACCACATCTCAGACGTTTGCCAATGTCCACAGGCATTCTTGTTTGTCACTTTAAAGATGATTGCTGCTTGTGTCTAGTGGGCAGAGGCCAAAAGAGATCATTCTCTGTGTCTTGTGATGTACAACACAGCCCCGAAAGAAAACGATGTCAGCTATGTTCCTGGCCAAACAGAACTGGATACCACCGTGTCAATAAAACTTTCACAGAAGCAAAGCAGCTGGCGTATTGTGCTTATAAATGTAGTTTTCTCACCCTTATTTTAAGTAGCTTTTGTCTGTATGCTGCTTTACTGGTTTTGTTTCTGAGTTATCTTTCATCCCAAGTAGTTTTCTGTATTTTATGGCCTTAAATCTTCCTTCCTAAAAATACAGAGGATCAGTAGCATGTGTGTAATGACAGCCCAGTATTTTTGAAACATGGGTTTTTGTTTGTTTGGTTTTGGTTGAAATTATATGAAATAAACATCATTTCAGAAAAATATGCTGAAGTCTCACTTTTTCTTCGGTACACTGGGTCTGTAGGATCAAAGTCAAATGCACACATGGGTGATGCCCAGCCTTTAGACTTCTGAGTAACAATATGCAGGATTGACAAGGACACACCTAATTCTTGTTGTACCTGCTCTCTTCCATTTTTATGTATTATAATCACTGAGATGGCAATTGAAGCAGATAAAATCTTTGTTTTAAGCACTGGGAGATTTAATAACAATTTTTCACTTAAAGAACATTCAACTAAACCAGCGAGCCATGCTTACAATCTGCACAACTTAGGAAGAAAGTATAAGAGATTAATTACTGTGGGCCTGGTGTTCTGTGGGAAGTGGCACACTTCTGCTGTTCCATGGATGAAGGATGAGAGGCTGCACACTGACCACCTTGAGAGGAGCATGTCTGCTGTCCGGGTGTGTGCCACCTGGAGAATCTAGGTTGCATCTGCCAAAGCAGTGGAATCCCAGTAAAAAGGTGACAGTTTATGATCCAATGTTAGACCTACAGCGAGTTCCAAAAATTGCAGTGGAAGTTGCAGATCCAGAGAGGAACTGGGGAGGCCCAGAGTAAGGTGCATGGGCCCCGGGTACTTCCTTGGCCCCAGCACAAACCACAGACCAGGCAGGAGACCAAAGCTGACTAAGGAAGGTGTCTGACCCCAGAGGAGACTAGGGCTGGAGTCTAGGGCCCTAAACACCAGCCTCACAAAGGGAAACAGCACCTCAGCCCCTTGATTAAATCTTCTGAATGAATACCGTACACTCCTGGAAAAAGAATTTCTAGGAAAAAAATGTGAGAAGCAAAACATTAATACCAACTGTGCAAGTCCCATTGTAGAAACACAAAACAAGGTAATATACATGTCTTCACAAAAAATTCCTAAACCCATACCAATGGCTCCCAATGAAAATTATTTGGAAAAACTTCCAGAAAAAAGACTGAACATAGTTATAATTGCTCTTTTAAACAACTCAAAGAAGACATGAATGTACTTCAGGAGAAAAAAAGAAGGAAATCATTCCAAGATAGAATTCAATAAGGAGATAACTAAAAAAAAGAAAAAAAAAAAAAAAAAAAAGCAAGCAAGAAAGAATGAATGAAAACAAATTATTCTGGAAATGACAAACTCAGTAAGCCAAATTAAAGATCCAGTGGAAACCGTTAGCAATAGAGTGGGTCACATGGGAAGCAGTAACAGGGCTGGAAGACAGGGTAGACTGACAGGTCACTCAATAAAGGTCAATAATTTTTGAAGAGAAAAAAGGGGCTGGAGAGAAGGCAGAAGGCATTGATGGTTAAGAGCACAGGCTGCTCTTGCAGAGGACTTGGGTTCAATTCCAAGAACCCCCATGGTGGCTCAAAATCTGTCCAGTTCCTGGAAGCCAATATCCTGTTCTGGCCTTTGTGGACACCAAGCACACAAGTGGTACACATACATATATGTAGGCAAGCGAGATGGTGGTGCACGCCTTTAATCCCAGCTCTTGGGAGGCAGAGGCTGGTGCATCTTTGAGTCCAGCCTGGTCTACAGAGTTCCAGGACAGCCAAGGCTACACAGAGAAAACTTGTCTCAAAACAAAAAGCAAATCTTGTATACATACATGGGTAGGCAAAACAGCCATACCCATAAGATAAAAAATAAAAGTTAAAGTACATAGAGTTCTTGTTCACCAGCCAAACACCAACTCTAACTATGGACATGGAAGGAGGAGGGCACAAACACAAATTTTTAAATCTCCATCAAAAAAAAAGTCACAGACCAAATGAACACTCAAATTGATGCTCTTTCCTCCTCTCTCTCTCTGTCTCTCTCTCTCCCTCTCTCCTCCCCTTTCTCCCTCCCTCCCTCCCTCCCTCCCTCTCTCTCTCTCTCTCTTTCTCTCTCTCTCTCCCTCCCCCCAGGCAGGGGGAGGCCAGACTGGGCCTCGAACAAAGACAAAGAGCCACCTGCCTCTGCCTCCTGAGTGCTGGGATTAAAGGCGTTCGCCACCAACACCCAGCTTCAAATTATTCCTTAAAAGAACGAAGTTTCTAAATTATTTTTTATGAAGCTGCTTTTATCTTGATAGCAAAATCAGATACAGACTAAATTCAAGGTCATATTTTCAAAGAGCATGAAAAGTTGGCTTTATTCCAACAATGCAAGGATGGACATGTTACGTGCACGCCAATAAGTGTAATTTATCACACAACCCGGAGGCAGAAATCAACAAGCGTTTCCATAGATGGCAGAAAAGGCCACTGATAAAACCCAACATCACTTCCTCTTCAGAGGTCCCCAGCATCCTTATGGCAGTTCCCAACTGCCTATAGCTCCAGTTCTAGGGACTCCTGTGCTCTTTTCTGACCTCCTAGGTCACCAGGAATTCACATACATAACATACACATGCAAGCAAAACATTCCTAAATGGTGACTTAGCAGTTAAGAGCTCACAGTCGGGTACCTGCATGCATATCGTGCATATACAGAAGAGCAGACATACAAATCTTTAAAAGGACTATGTTTGACGGGCCTATAGCTGGCATTATACTAAATGGAAAAAAAAACCAAATACTTCCACTAACTCAAAATAGGCAGGGGTGTCACGCCATCCATTATAGTCAGTGTAGTGCTTGAAGTCCTAGCTAGAGCAACTTAAGAGAAGGAAATAAAAGGAATTCAGATGGGGGGTGGAGGAGAGAAAGTATCCCCTTTTGCAGATAGGAGTCTACACATCCAGAGATACTAAAGACTCTTCATTGTTAATGAAAAACCTGATTGGCTTATAGCAGGGCAAGAAGAGATTGGGCAAGACGAGCTGACACAGAGAACGATACGAGGAGGAAGTGAAGAGTCAGGGGATTGAGAGTCGCTGGCAGATGCAGAGGGAGCAGGAGATAAATGTGCCATGTTAATAAAGGTACTGCCACGTGGCAGGGGATAAATAAGGAATTTGGGTTAACTTAAAATGTAAGTGCTAGCTAGTAATAAGCTTGAGCAATCGGCCAGGCATTTGTAATAATATTCAGCCTCTGAGTCAGTTATTTGGGACTAGTTAGTTGGGACAGGAAGCGTTCAATTACAGACTCCAACACAAAACTCTTAAAGCTGAGAAACCAAAATTAACACACAAAAGCCCCCCCCATGTGCCAGTAACAAAAAAACATGTGGAAAGGAATTCACAATGAGCACAAAAATAAAACGAAATGCCTGGGAATAAATGGAGCCAAGGAAATAAAAGACTTCCACAATGAAAGCTTTAAGATGCTGGAAAAGGGGGTTGGGGAAGACACTAGCAAATGGAAAGATCCCCCAAGCTTGTGGGTTAGAGGAATTTAGTCTTATGAAAACGGCCTAAAAGGGGGGGGGTGGCCATTCTAAAATACAATCTACAGATTCAATGTAGTCCCAATAAAAATTCCAAGAGCACTATTCATAGGCACAGAAAAAACACACTAATTTATATAAAGACTTAAAAAAAAAAAAAAAAGATAGCCAAGCAGCCCTGAGTAATGAACACTGCTGGCGTCATCATGATGCCTGATTACAAATTATACTACAGAGCCACGGTGATAGAAACAGAAGAGAATCGAGGACCCAGATACGAGTACAGGCAACCACAGTAACTCGAGTTCTAACAAAGAAAAGACAGTATCTTCAACAAATTGTACTGAGAAAGCTAGATTCCAATATGAAGGGAGACGAGAAAGTAGAAAGGGACAAGTTGGGAGAAGGTCAGCAGATATGGGGGTGGGGGTGGGACAACTGGCGATATTAAGGGTGAATGTGACCACTGTACATCGAATACACCTACGAAATTGTTCTCAAGGGCTGGAGAGATGGCTCAGCAGCTAAGAGCACTGGCTGTTCTTCCAAAGGACCCAGGTTCAATTCCCAGCAACCTAATGGCAGCTCCCAACTGTTTGTAACTCCAATTCCAGGGGACCTGACATCCTCACACGGTCATATATGCAGGCAGACAGCAATGCATATAAATCTTTTTTTATTTTTATATGTTCAATTAAAGAAAAATAAACTAGCTCACATATTGTACTTATTTTTCAATCTAAAGTTTCCACTTTTCTTTCAGACTGGCAAATTATATCCCTTGAGGGATGCAAATAAAGCATCTCAGGGAGCTGTCTCAGGAAACTCACACCCACATCTTGTGATGCTACTGTCCCTTTCCTATATGACCCTCCGTCTAAATACTTAATAAGCTTTGTTTCCTGTGGTGGTTTGAATGAGGATGCCCCTTACAAGATCATAGATTTCAATGCCTGGTCACCAGGGAATTGTACTACTTGAGAGGGGTTAGGAGGCGTGGCCGTGTTGGAGGAAGTGTGTCACTGGAGATGGGCTTCGAGGTTTTCAAAAGCCCAAGCCAGGCTCAGTGTCTCACTGTCTTTCTGCTCCTTCTCCAGCACCACATCTGCCTGCATGTCACCATGTTTCCTGTCATGATGATAATGGACTGAACCTCCGAAACTGTAATCAAATGTTTCCTTTATAAGAGCTGCTGTGCTCCAGTATGTAGACACTCATAAGTAGATATTAGACATAAAGCAAAAGATAACCAGCCTATAGTCCACAACCCCAGAGAAGCCAGGAAACAAAGACTCTAAGAGAGACATACATGGATTTCCAGAGAAGGGAAAAGAGACAAGGTCTCCTGAGTAAATTGGGAGCATGGGGGGAGGGCAGAGGGAGATAGAGAAGTGGGGGGGGGGAGAGGGGGAGTGGAGAGGAGAACATGGGGGCTCAGGAAGGTCCAGCTGGGGGAAGGACAAAGGGAGAGTAACAATAACCATTATGCGGTTATTGAGAAACCTGGCATTAGAGAAATTCTCAGGAATCCACAAGGACGACCCCCATCTAAGAATCTAATCTATAGTGGAGAGGGTACCTTAACTACCTTCCCCTGTAATCAGATTGATGACTACCTTAATTGTCATCCGATGGGAGATGCCATTCTGTAAATATGTTTCTCTTATTGGTTAATGAATAAA